CAGAAGAAGCCAGAGTGGGCTAATGAAATTGTCAATCCTGTCATGTCACCCTTTCTACTCCTTGTATGCCCTGGGGGTTTTTTGTTGTTATTTATTTATTTATTTTTGTCTTTTTGAAACAAGGTCTCCCTGTACAATTCAGGCTGGCCTTGAGCTCACTTTGTAGACCAGGCTGGTCTGGAACTTACAATGATCCTCCTGCCTCAGCCTCCCGAGTGCTGGGATTACAGGCGTGCACCACCATGCCCAGCCTGTATGCCCTGTTTAACCACGCCTTTCTATCTGCTCACAGCTCTGTTGATACTTGCAGCTTGCTCAGAAAGTGGTTCTTCCTCCCTCCTTTCTCTATCTTCCTGACCTTGTCCAAGCCTCGGCCCAAAGCCCTGCATTCCCGAAGATCTTATCCACAGAGCCTGGCCCAGGCCCCCTGCTACAAGCTCTTACGTGTTCACTGCTCCCTGTGTTTCGTCTTTGTATCCTTTGCAGGATGTACCACATGCTGCATCTTCACGTTTGTGTGTGTGGTTCTCTGATTAATAATAAATACCCATCTCCCCCACCAGGGAGCTCAGGAGTTTGGGGTCTGGTTTCTGCTTGCCATCATTTCCCTCTGGTGCTGAGCAGGTGCTCTGCAGGCAATCATGGATTGAACGAATGAGTAGGTGACTCCTCAAGAGTATTCAGAGGATGCTGCCCTTGGGGAAAGGTTGGTGCCTCTGGCTCTGACAGAAAATGAGCTGGTAGCCAAGCAGGGGAGAACGAAGTGGGGTGTGCAAAGAGCTTCCACCATGGAGCGGCCCATGGGAGCTGTCCCTTCCCGCCCTCCTCGCCCTGCCCTGCCTGGGACTTGGCCCCTGCCCCTCTCCAGTTCCAGCTACTCTTCCAGTTGCCCCCAGGCCCCACAGCACCGCTCCTGCTCCTTCCCTGGGGGCCTGCCCCAGGCTGGCCCTGCTTGCAACTCTTCTCCTTCTTTTCCCAGGGCTGGCCCACTCTCCTCCTTTAGGCTGTGTGTGTGGGGGGGTGCGGTACTGGAGACTGAACTCAGGGCCTTTGTAAAGAGCTATATTCCCAGTCCTTTTATTTTGTGTTTGCTTGGTTGGTTGTCTTGTTTTTGTTTTTTGTACTGGGGATCAAACTCAGGACCTCACCCTTGCCAGGCAGGCACTGCACCACTGAGCTAGATCCCCAGCCCCTTGATTTGTTTTGAGACAGGGTCTCACTTTTTTTTTTTTGTACCAAGAGTCGAACTCAGGACCTTGCCAGGCAGGTGCTGTGCCGCTGAGCTAGATCCCTGGCTGGAGACAGGGTCTCACTTTGTAATGCAGGTTGGCTTTGAACTCACTAAATAACCTAAACTGGCCTTAAACCTGCAGTGATCCTCCTCAGCCTTCCAAATGCTGGAATTACAGGTGTGTGCCACTCTGCCCCGCTGTTTGTCTTTTTGAGACAGGGTTTCACTTTGCAGTTCAGGTTAACCTTGAACTCACTTTGTAGCCCAGGCTGGTTTCAAACTTGTAGCAATCGTCCTGCCTCAGCCTCCCGAGTGCTAGGATAATAGGCATGTGCACCACATCTTGCCACTTGTTTGTTTTTTTGAGAGAGGGTCTCACTAGGTAGTCCAGGCCGGCTTTGCACTCATCATGTAGTCCAGGCTGGCCTCAGACTCACGGTGATCTTCTTGCCTCACCCTTCTGAGTGCTTGGATTACAGGCTCGCGCCACCACACCAGGCATATTTTAATTTTTTATATTTTGAAACGTCTCACTAAATTGCCTAGTTTGAGTTTGAACTTGTGAATTCTCTTGCCTCAGTCTCCCACAGTGCTCAGATTACAAGTGTGTACCACCACACACAGCTCAGGTCAAATATAAATATTGCTTCCTTACAGGACGCCTTGCCTGAGTATTTCTCTCCGTTATTTCTCATCTTTTTACCCAGTTCATGTCCTCCTTTGTATCTCATAAAGGAAATGAATTTATGTATTTGCTTATTGTTTGTGTCCCTATTTGAGCTGGTTGCTTGGGCCTTATATAACAGACTAACTCACACTGGTGGCTGGGGAATAGAGCTCAGTGGCATGAACACCTGCCTGGCAAGTGCAAGGTCCTGAGTTCAATTACTGGCACAGGGGGTAGCGGGGGTGGTGGTGGTGGTGGTGGTGGTGTAGTTTAACTCACACTGGTTTAAATGAGGGAGTGGTCTACAGACCAGCCTGTTCACAGTTGGTCAGTTCACTGCTGTTCTTAAGGACCTAGACTCTGCTCATCTGGTTGCTCTGCCCCTTGGTTACCAGGGTGGATGCATCACAGTGGGCTTCATATCATATAGGAAGGGCTTTCTCCTCGCTATGTACATTAACTAGTGCAATGTGACAAAATGGCATAAAACTTAGCGGTTTTAAGCATTTACTTTTTTAAAAAAGGAAAGCACGCCTGAAATCCCATCACTCGGGAGGCTGAGGCAGGAGGATCACTGCAAGTTTGAGACCAGCCTGGGGTACAAAGTAAGCTCAAGGCCAGCCTGAACTGCATAGCGAGACCCTGTCTCAGAAGACTAAATAAATAAATAAATAAATGCATTTATTATCTGGGTGTGGTGGTGCAAACCTGCAATCTCAGCTACTTGGGAGGTTGAGGCAGGAAGATTCCAAGTTTGAAGCCAGCCCAGGTAATTTAGCAAAAGCGTATCTCAAAATTTTGAAAAGGGAGAGGTAGCTCAGTGGTAGAGCACTTTCCTAGCATGCACAAAGCCCTGGTTCAATCCCCAGTATTGAAAAGAAGGGGGAAAAAACACAGTGTCTGAGGTTATAACCCCAGAGTGGCCCCGGTGGTTGGTTCTAGTGCTGGGTTTTTCAGGAGGTGATGGTCAAGCTGTCTTGGAGGACTGAAGTTACCTGGAGGCTGAACTGGGCTGGAGGATCTGCTTCCAGATCTTCTCACATGGCCACTGGCAGGACCCTTCAATTCCTCTGTGAGGTCCTCTGTGTGGGCCTCGGTTAAAGCTGCTCCCCACACAGCAGCTGGCTTCCTCCAGGTGAGTGATCCAAGAGCAAGAGTGCAACCAGGACAGAGCGCAGTGCCTTTCACAATCGAACCTCACAGCAACTCTCACTTGTGCTGTATTCTACTGGCCACCTGGTACACGGGCAGGGACTACACAGGGTGTGAATATGAGGCGACACTGGGAGGTCCTAGTAGAGGCTGGCTCCACACTGTGTTTCTTTTCAAAAAAAGAGGATGCCTTAGTCACACACGGTGGTGCACACCTGTAATCCCAGGACTCTGGGAGGTTGAGGCAGGAAGATCTTAGGCCTGGTTTCTTTCTTTTTTTTTTTTGATAGTGGGAATCGAACTCAGGGCCTTGCGCTTGCCAGGCAGGCACTTGTGCCGCTGAGCTGTAGCCCCAGCCTGAGATCTTAGGTCTGAGCAGAGTCTGGGCAACTTAGTGACTTAAGACTGACTCAAAATAACAAAGGGCTGGGATGTAGTTTAGTGTCACTGCAGCAGTGAAAAAGAAAAAACAGAAAACAAAACGAAAGCCAAAAGTTAAAAAGGGCTGCGGATGTAGCTCAGTTTAAAGGCCCTGAGTTCAATCCTAGTGCTGGCGGGGGTAGTGGGAGAGGAAGCACACAGGAGCCTTCTCTTCGCGTCTCTCGGCTGGACCTAGGTCTGGTCATGCTTACACCAAGGCTGTCTGAGGGATCCCAGACCACACTGTTTAGCGCATCATAACCCGGGCTCCCTCTGGGGCCAGTCCCACCTGGGCCACTGCACAGGGCCGTATCTAGGAGACCTGAACAGATCTCAGGAGTCTGTCTGGAGGGAGGGGATGGTGATAGGTGATGTACAGTAGGTGGCCCACAGTGTCTCTGACGTCAGGACCAGACTGTACACCCCCCAGGACAGAGGTTGTGCCTTTACCCCCAGTGCGTAGCCCCATGTGTGGTACAGGTAAAGGTAATTTTTGTTGAATGAATTCATGACTGAAATGGAAGACCGCAGGGCAAGGGGTTCAGGACTGGTACCCCCGTGGGGGCAGATATCTCCGGGCATTGGGCTCCTTAAGTTCATCTCAGAACTCAGGAGGCCACCTGCTCCCACCCTTCCTTGGCAGCAACAAGGACAGACAGGATTGGCAGAATTATTCTTGCTTTATTTCTGGAGAAGTTTGATCAGATGCAATAACACTGATTCCAGGCACGGGCAGGAGGCATGGGTACCCCTGAAGCAACCAGTATCCTGTGGCCCAAGGTGCCCCCCAACCCCCAGACCTGGGTTCCCCCTCAGTTACAGTTAAATAGAGAGGAAGATCTCCCCAGGGAGCCTCGGGAGGGGGGTCTGCCTCCTGTACCCACCCCCTCCACACCGACATCTGAGCACAAGCTATTTACAGTATTCACATCCACTGTACCCCACCAAACCAAGGCAAATACTACAGGTGGCCCTTCCCCGAGGCGGGGCCAGAGAGGCTGTGAGTGTATGTGTGTGCGGCGAGAGGGAGTGTCCGCGCGTGTGAGCACACGGATGCGCTGAGGAGCAGGGTCTGGCTCCAGCCAAAGAGACATCAGTCCATAAGGTGCAGGTTAACAACAACGAAGAGGACGCACCCGCAGGGCCCACGCCACTTCCATCTTTGTTCTGTCTCTTCCTCCTCTGGACATCCTGGTGGACGGTGCAGAGGAGGCCTCATAGCCATGCCCGGATCCAAGGCCACCCTTAAAGGACTTCTGGGGAAGGGGAGGGAAACAGTCTCGGTGAAGCCTGCCCCAAGTGCAGATCTTGGGGCCTTCGGGATGGACCAAGGGGAGGGCAGGGCTGGGAGTCCGGGAAGGAGGCTAGAGTGGAGGAAGAGGGCCAGGGGTGAGGGGCCCCTACCTGTGACCTGTGGGGGCTGCACCACTGCTTTCTTGAGGAAGGCTTCTGCCTCTGCAAAGGGTAGGAGTGCCTCCGGGGCTCGGCCCAGACTCTTGTCCCCAGAGGGTCCCTTGGGGGAGAAGCCGTTCTCCTGATGTCCTGGGAGAGGCTGCAGGCCATTCACCAGGGAGCCAGGCAGCTCCTTGCTTGGCAGGCTGTGAATATGGGGCTCAGTCAGCGCCCCACCTCAGTGAAACCCAGGCCTCCCTGCAGCTCCAACCTGAGGCTGCCTCCTGCTCCGGGTCCCTGGGGTGGGGGGCTGGCACCTCCACTGCGGCTCCTGGGGGGCTGGCTCCTCCTTCTCCACTGCCTCCTTCTGCAGCTCTGAGGGCCGTGTCTCCGCAGTTGTCACAGGATCTGTCTCAGGGAAGCAATGACCATCAGCCAAGGGCTGCAGAGCACGTGAGGCTAGAGGACAGGGGTGGGGGAGGTGATGGGGGTGGGGGAGGCGATGGAGGTGGAGGAAGCAGGGCCTTTACCTGGGCTGGAACTATTGGCTTCTGCCTCCTTAAGGTCCTGCTTCTGCTTTGAAGGGGAAGAGCAGTCAGCCAGGAGGGCCCTCCGAACCCACCCAACTGAGGTTCTGAACTCTTCTCCCTCAGCCCACGGCCTCCTTCCTCGGCTCCGGTGCCTTCCTACAGCCTCCTGCCCTCACCTGGAGCCCGCTCCCACTCGGAGAACCCTCACCTTGGTTTCAGCAGCTTCTGACTTCCGAGTCCTCTTCATGATCTCCTCCAGACGCTGTAGGGAGGCCCCACATCAGTTAGTCCCAGCTTCCCTCCGGCCAATCCAGCCAGGAGCCAGATCCTGCCCCAGCTACGGTTCTACCCTCTGCATGACCAAGGCTGGACCCACCGGAGTCCACTGCCTATGTACCCTTAGCCGACTGCCTGCAGCCCCTGGGGAGGGAGGGCCCCACCCACCAAGCCCGCCCACCAAGCCCGCCCACCTTTCTGCGCTCCTGCCGCTCCTGCTCCTCCTTCTGGAAGTGCTTTTCCCGCTCCAGACGCTGCCGCTCTGCTTCTTCTCGAGATCGAGCTTCAGCCTCCTCTTTCTGCCAAAGATGTCTGTGAGCTCCAGGCACCTGGCCAAGCCCTCCTCTGGGTTACAGGTCCTGCGCCCCACCGGGACCCGCCCGCCTGGCACCTGTTTCTGGAGCCGCTCCTGCTCCTCCTGCTCGGCCTGTGCCTTCTCTCGGGCCTCTTGCTCTTCCCGCCTCCGGGCCTCGGCCTCCCGCTCTGCCCGGGCCTCTGTCTCCCGCGCCAGCTGCTCCTCCCGCATTCGCCTGGAGGACAGAGAAAACTGTAGCTTGGTCCTAGCCCCCTCTCCAGTCTCAAAAGGACTCACTCGGTGCCGAGGGCGCACTCACTTATCCCTTTCTGCCTGCAGCCTCCGCTCCTGTTCCTCGCGCTCCCGCTGCTCCCGGGCCTGGCGCCGCTTCTCAGCCAGGAGCCTGGTAGCCTCTTCTCGGTCAGTGGTGCCCGCCATGGGTTTGCTAGGGGTCACTGCGGGAGCGGGGGCTGGGGGTGAGGTCGGGAGAGCAGTATCTGGAGAAGAATCAGGACGACGACGAGTCAGCACACACTGGCACGGGCGCCCTGCCCACCCCGTGCCTCCTGGACTTCAGGGGGACCCGCCCACTCCGCTGCCGCCATCACTCAGGCTGGCCTGTGCTCGGAGACCTGGTCCTGCCGTGGGCAGGACCAGTTCCCAGGCATCTTTGGTGGCCCACAACCCTGCCCACCTCCTCTGCCCATGCAAAGCTGGCTTCTCTGCCCTGCCAAGCTGCTCTGCAGGCGCACCTGCAGGGATCTCTGCAGCCGCAGCAGGCTGAGCTGGGCTGGGCGAGGGCGTGGGCGTGGGCGAGGGTGCTGGTGAGGCTGGGGCTGCTGGCTCCTTGTCCACACTGGGCCTCCTCTTGCTCTGGTTCTTGTCCTCAGACACTACTGCGCCGGGGCTCTCCTTGGCCTCCTCCTTCCTGCGAGCCCGTCCCTTGGGTGATGCAGTGGTGCCCCGAGGAGATGGCGGTTTTGGAGGCAGAGTGTGGCCTGGCGCTGGGCTGGGGCAGGGGGAGGCAGGCCTGTGCCAGGACAGGGAGGGAGAGGATGGCCGGGCCTTGGATTTGGGGCTGAGAAAGAAGGGAAGGGTTAGAACTGCAGGCCAGAGTGCACAGGAACATGCATGTAGCCACTCCCACTGAGCTTGTTACTTCCTTAGGGAAGTGTCCCCTCCCTTGGGCTAAGCCCTCCCGCATCTAGGCAATCTCACAAAAGCTCAACGTTTCCTCTTTGTGCTTATATTCTGGTTTGTGCTCCATATGGTGGCTCATGCCTGTAATCTCAGTATTCATGAGGCTGAGTCAGGAAGATTGCAAAGTCAAGGCAAACTTGGGCTACCGAGTGAGTTCAAGGTCAGCCTGGACTATATAGTGAGATCCTCCCTCAAAAAACAAAACAAAAAAAACCCCTCATTTGCAATTTCATATTTATGAGATGAATGTCTATCTCCCTGACAGTCTGCACACTTAATAAGAGCAAAAACTGAGTGTGGTTCAGTTCGCCAGTGTCCTTAGCACCCAGAACACTATGTGGAGGGTCAGCTATTCATTCAGCCCAAGTATATACTGCATACTTACCAGACATCAGGCACTGTTTTAAGTGCTGGGGCACTTCAGTTAAAACAACAAAGAAGGAAAAAAAAGGGGCGGGGTAGAAGAGGAAGAGAAAGAAATAAAGATAGGAGAGCAAGACAGGAAGAATTCATCACCGGAGGACTCCCGCTCTCTCTGCAGGGAGTCTGCATTGGAGACTGAACCCAGGGTCTTCACAGAGCTACGTCCCCAGCCCTTCTTTATTTGCTATGTAGTACCAGCTGGCCTTGAGCTTTCTATGTAGGCCAGGCTGGCCTTGAACTCATGGAGATCCTCCTGCCTCAGCCTGCTGAGTGCTGGGGTTACAGGCATGCTCCACCATGCCCAGCTTTTCTTCATTATTTTGAAACAAAATCTACCTCAGTTGTCCAGGCTGGGTTGAAGTTGTGATCCTCCTGCCTCAGCGTGTTGGGATTATGGGTGGGAGCCACCAAACCCAGAGAATTTTTATTCGTGAGTTCCCAGCAAGTATAGTATTTGTTTGTTGTCTTTTTGAGACAGGGTCTCGCTATGCAGTTTCAGGCTGGTCTCCAACTCCCAACAATCCTCTGAACTCCCAAGGATCCCCTGAATTCCCAATGATCCCCCTGCCTCAGCCTCCTGAGTGGGAATGCAGGGTGCTGGGATTACAGGTGTGCACCACCACACCTGGCTTTGTTTGTTTTTTTGGTGTTGGGGTTTTTTTTGATACCGGGGCTTGCTGTGTATTACAGGCTGGCCTTGAACTCACTATGTAGTCCAGCTGGCCTCGAATTCGCAGGTATTCTCCTGCCTCAGCCTCCCGAGAGTACTAGGATTACAGGCGTGCACCGCCATGCCCTGGTTTCAATAGAGTATTTGTGAAAGGAGCAAATGAAAGGCCAAGTGAAGTGCTCCGCCCCGGCCCCCTCACCTGAGCTCGGAGGCGGGGCCCGAAGAAAGGCGCGGGCGCCCAGGCGCAGGTAGTGACTGCCGCTTCTTGAGGCTGCGCTCCCGGGCCAGGGCACTCTTTTCCTTCTCGTTTTCCCGCTCCTTGTCCTTCTTCTCCTTTTTCTGCACCTGGCGGGGCAGGGGCGGGGGGAGAGGAGTAGAGGTCAGGGGCGCCGGCATTCCAGCACCCGGGCTGCCCGTCCCGACCTGTGCGCCCACTCACCGGCGAGGCCTCCGGGCGGCGGCGGACGTGGGCGGGGCTGCCCCCGGCGCTGGGCTTGCGCCGCTCGCCGGAGGCAGGGGCGCAGCGGTGCCCGCTTCGGGGGGCGCTGCACGTCGTCAGGGGACTGGCAGAGGCCGAGCGCGGGCACACCGGCACGGCTGCAGGGGGATGAGGGCGGTGGAGGTGTGGCCAGGGCGGGAGACTGGTCCCTGCCCAGCCCCTCGCGGGGCGTCTCCCACAGCCGCCGGCCCTACCCTGGTCCCTGCCGTTGCGGGGCAGCGTGACCGCGCTGCGACTCCGAGCCAGGAAGGAGAGGGTAGGTGTCATCAGGCGATCCACGATGCTGCTCTCCCAGGCACTCAGCTGCAGGCTGCGATCTGGGGGAGGAACACCAAGTGAAGCTGGTCAGCCTGGGCAGAGGCCCGGGGGAGACCAGGTGCTGTCCCCATGCCAAGCGCAAGGATTCTCACCCAGGAAGACTGTCCCCCCAATCACGCGGGGGCCACGCTTGTCCTCTCTGAGAGCTGGACCTCCACTGCAGACCCAGCCAACAAAACCCTTGTCAGGGCAACATTCTGCATGCTTCAGGGTCCCCGCCTACCACTCTCCCCAGGTGAAAGGGCGCGGCACTGAGCACAGGAAGGAGCCCCAGGACGGCGGAGGGCGGAGCGCTGAACGCTGAACTGCCCTCTCCCACGCCCGCCTCCGGGCCCTGCATTTCCCGCTGGCAGACCACTGCCTGGGGCAGACATGGTCTCACGGGTGTGGGCCAGCAGGGGTCTTTACACTCCTCTGACCCGGCCTTTAGGAGTCCTCTGCCAGGGAGAGGCTGCACGGGGCCTGGCTGCCCTAAGCCACCCTGCTCTGTCCCCTCAGCTGCTGGGTTATTTTTAAGCCTCAGTCAGGTGGAGTTGGTGCAGCAGCTGATTTGGTCGCTAGGCAACAGAGCAACCAAATAAAAGCGAGAGAAACATAAATAACTCCTATCATGGCTCCTTCATATGTAAGCACCAGGGCATGGTGGGAATGAAGGGGCTGTGCCACCCTGGTTGGCTGCAATTCTGGAACCAGCCAAGGCCATGGCTGGGGCTCTGATAGCAGAGAGGGGAGAACTGCATGGCCCTCTAGGGTGGAGCCAGGATAACACACCCCCAGCACAGCACACAGGCCAGTCTGACTCAGGGGCAAAGCCACCTGTCAAAGACTGGCTCCAGCCAGCTGGCTGTGATGGAGATGAGGCTGCCTTCCCATTCCCACCCCACAGCCGCTACCCCCACGTTGCTCTGGAGGCCCCTGCCAGGCTTTCCACACTCTTAGCCATTGTACTTTGTCCCTGTTCTCCTCTCCTGCAGGGCACAACTCTGTCCTCAGGATCCAGACCCAAATGCCGGCTCCCCCAAAGGGCAGAGAGGCCCAAGTGGGGTGGAGTGGGAACGGGGACCTGCTGTGTATGAGGGCTCCAGAGAGGGGTATCCTTGCTAAGCTCTGGAGGAGGCTGGATGGGGGCTCTGGATGGGGAAGGCTGGGCCTTCTCTTACTTCTACTGGGGGAGTTCCAGAGCGTGGCAGAGGACTTTGAGAGCCGCTTGTTGATTATAGAGTCCACGTGTTTGGGCAGGTTTACTGCCGACACGGAGCACCTGCTCCCACCTGGAGGGGAAAAGACACGGCATTAGGGCCGGGCCAGACGGGGAGCCAGAGGGGGCACTGAGGCCTTCCATGCAGGATGCTCCGAGGGTAGGCTGGGAGAGGGAAGAATGGGCAGGCTGGGATGGGGAGGAGGCAGATTTGGCTCTGGGAGAGGGAGGGTGGGGAGATGGGGGACCAACGACAACCTGGGTTGGGGGAGCCGACGGGGAAGGAGCAGAGGGAGATGTTGTGAAACTAGAAAACTACAGCCTTCCTGGCCAGACCAAAGGAAGCCATTCTCTAGGGCTGGGTGCTCCAACCCCTCCCCATGACCATCCCCTCCCCATGACCATCCAGCGTTGGCACTTGCTCACACTACCCAGCCAAGGTGATATGGATACAACACCCAGGTCCTGGGACAGTGCAAAGACATTCTAAACAGAAAAACCCACAGTCACAGTCACTTGCACAAATCCACATATTTCAACCAGACACATAAAGACATGCAGACACAGGCATATATAGTAAAACTTATGCATGCACACGTGTGCAGACATGCACAGAGAGAAACACAAATAGCTGAAGTGTGTCAGACCCAGATGCACACAAAGCACAAACACATCAAAGCAACCTAATCATGATATTTATAACAGCTAACATAGGGTGATGCTCACCGTGTGCCAGGCACTGAGTTGGGAACTCTACACATGTTACCTCACTTGACCCTCCAAACATCTACCTACAACCTCGGAGGCAAATAATAGTGTTATCTCCACTTCGCAGAGGCAAAACAGTGAGAAGTCGGAAGTTAAAGGTCACACCACCAGGGCCAGAGCTGGGACCCAAGTCTGTCTGACGCAGGAGCCCTTGCTGATGTACACAAGGCCACAAACACACCACTGTAAATACAGTAAACTACACAACACAGATCCGTGGGCACGTACCCAGGATATACACAAGTAGAACTACAGCACCTTTCCACTGCACAAAGACATCCAGACACAGGAGAACACACATGCCAGTAACGACTCAGACCAAATCCACGGCAAGCCTAATGAGAAGAACTCCGAGACAAACATCTACCTTCTAAGACAGGGGGTGACAGTTTTCTTTAAATATCCACTGCCTGCAGGGCATTAAAGTCCTCTTTCAAGTATTGTCAACTAATAAAATTGACTGCAGCAAAAAAGGCTACTCCTAAAATGATAGAGGTTTGAAGAACAAACCAAATGGAGAGACTCCATCTCTGATTTGATAGTGGAGATCCTTGGAAAAGGACACTTTGGTTTACAGACCATTTCGGAAGACACACGTCACACAAAACAAGACAATCTAGCTCCTTGTGCAGAAGCTGTTCCCCTTCCCCTTGCCAGGCCCAGCCTTGGCCACTCTCAAGCCCTTCCAGCCCACTCACTGGTCTTATTTCCTGGAGAACTGTGATGAAGAGCCCCTGCCCAGGACCAGCGCTGCTGCCGGATTTCAGCCCACGTCTTCTTCACTGACCGCTGGATGGCTGCTTCATAGCGTTCCTGGAGCCAGGTGGGGAGAAGAGGAAAACCTGTCAGAATCATCTGTCACGCCTAGGAGAGGCTTTGTCCTTCCTGTGACAATACTTCCCCTCTCCCATTCCTCCTGGATCAGGGCAGGTAACCCAGGTCACTGAATGCTTGCTGGGGTTAGGGGCCCTGTGCAACAGATCCCTTTCTACTCCTTGGAGAGCTTTTCAATATTCTTGAGTCATTTCCTGGGTGTGTGAGTTGCTTCTCTGAGGGTGGGGTGGGACTCTCCTTGCCTGGAGCTCCTAGGCAAAGCCTCTTTACCCCTTGGCGCTGGGGCTCAGAGTCCTGACCTTAAGACTGCTGTTTTCCTTTAGCCTGAGGCCGCCAGACAAGGCCAACCCATTTCCTTCATGGCCTCACCAGCATGCAAGCCAGGCTCTACTCAAGTAATGAAGCTGGGCCTTTCACTAACACATAGCTGTGTTAGACTCCGACACATGGGCACAGTCCCAGGGACAGACACTGCACATATGGGAACAAATGAGTCTGCAGCTGCAAAGATGCCCCGACACTGTAACCAAGGACGCAGCTGTAGATGTGAATACAGGTGGAACCACACAGACACAGACTGATGGAGGGATGAACAGCGACATGTGCACAGTTCGCCAGACACAGATATGTGGGGATGGTGTGTGCAGATCCATGCAGACCCAGCTGCAACCAGGACATGAACACACCTTGTTTTTCTCCAGCTTCTGCCGCTGCCGCTCCTCCAGGGCAGCTCTGCGCTGCTCAGCTTTAAGGCGCTGTTCTTCTAGCCGCCGCCGGCGCTCCTGGAGCTGCTTTTCACGAAGAGCCTTGGCCTTCTCCTCCTTCTCCAGCCACACTGCTTTCTTGGCCGCTGTGGGGGGAAAAGAGCCCGTGGTTTGTGAGGGAAGCCTCCTCTGAGTGTCCTCCCTGCTACTCTAACCCAGGGGGTCTCTTTCCTGCCTGCCTGGGCAGGGCATCCATCCCCAAACCCCTCACACTCAGGGGCTTCCTCAAAACAGCCTTAGGGAGTCTTATTTCTGCCCACACTCAGGAGTGAAGGAAAAATGAGTTCTTTTTCTTTTGTTTTTCATGGAACTCAGTATTGTATATAGGGCTTTCCAACTGAGTTACATCCTCAGCCCTTTATTCTTTTTATTTTAAAACAGAATCTGGTTAAGTGACTAAGTTGCCCAGGCTGGACTCAAACTTGCAGTTCTCCTGCCTAAATCTCCCAGAGTGCTGGGATTACAGGCAGGTACCCCCACTCCTAAATAGTGTGAGATTCCCATCCATCTTGGGGGCCTACTGAACAGATTCCTACATATTGTGGTTAAGGGGATTTGGGGTGAGGTGGGAAGTCTGGGTCAGAATCTCAGCTACTCCACTAGCTGGGTGGCTTCCATAAATGCCTTCATCTCTCTGAGCCTGTTTGCTCCTCAAAATGGGCTGGGAGGATTACAAGATATAACACCTGTACTGCTCTTAGCACAGTAAACGTGAAGTTTTCCAGTAATGTCAGCATTAATCATAGGATGCTGATGATGACGACGATGATGATGCAGGTGACGCTTCCCACTCACCCAGGTATTTGGCCCGCTCTTCTCGCCGCTCCTTTGCCAGCTTGTGTCTCTCTCCTGCCTTCTTTACATCTTAGCAGAGAAAACAAGAACAGACAGGTCAAAAGTTCTGTCCAACAAGCCAGCAGCCTTGGAACCCTCTTCGTAGGTCTCACTTCCTCTCTGTCCCCAGGTCCTGCAGGGCAAAGGGGACTCCTTCAGGGGTTACCATCCAGGGCTGAGACCTGAGCCAAGGGGTTTGGGCCCCAGGTAGAATTATCATATGTACCTTGCTTGGTGGGAGGGCTGTCAGAGGCTGGCACTGCTGGTGGGGCTGGCTCGCTGCTCCTCTGAGGAGGTCTAGCATCCTGTGAGCCGGTGGCTGATGGGCTCTTTGCTTCTGATAAAAAGGATTCTTCCTGTGGGGGGACTGGCCTATGATCAACCTGCCCTCGGGAGCTCTCTGGTTCCAGTGGAAGCTGCTTAGGGCTAGTGGCATTCTTCATGGCAGGAGGGGTGTCCGGAGGAGTGTCAGGGACCAGGGATGACATTGGTGGTGGTGGTGGGAAAGGGTCACCTTCTGGAGAAGGTCTTGGCTCTGAGGGGATCCTGGAGACCATGGCTGAAAGACCAACACAAAAGAGGACATAGTGTCAGATTGTGGATCCATGCTGTCAGCTCTGCACATAGCTATCTCTCCTGCCCAGCAGACGTGTTCACTCCCTCACAGGTGTTCTTTCCAGATGCCAGGCCCAGTATGTTCCGATATAAGTATTATGGTAAGGAAACAGGCAAGACCCCTGCTTCTGTGGAACTCATTTTCTAGCAGGACAGACAGACAGACAGACAGCTATGAAATTGCAGTAGAGTAAGTACTGTGTCTTGAGCAGCACAGTAGAGATGGTTAACCTACCTCTGGAGATTTCCTGAAAATGTACCAACCAAGCTGTGACCTGAAGGATGAGCTGGAGTTGGCACAGCAAGGAAAGGACGGCTCTGGCAGAGAAGTGCCTGAGCAGAGGGCAGAAGGAGGTGGGGTATGTTGGGGAAAATGGCAAATATCGGTAGCACTTGCCAGTGCACCAAATGGTAGTGACCGGTTTCACCATGTGCCTCCCCCACCTTCTAATCTGTCCCTAGGTCACTGTCCAACCTGAGGCCAGGTTCACACTGGGCTAAGCACACCAGGCTGATCAAGAGAAAGGGTATGTGTAAGCAAGGGCACAAGACCCAAAGCAGTGTTGCTAAAATCCCAGGGGAGTGGGCAACCCCCTATGTCTATGCATACTTCATAATCATTGTTCCCCATTCACCTTTCTTTTTCTTTTTTTTTGGTTTTTTTATTTTTTTTTTCGGGTATCGGGAATCGAACTCACGACGTTGCGCTTGCCAGGCAGGCGCTGTGCCGCTGAGCTAAATCCCCAGCTCCTCACCTTTCTTTTTAAAAAACGTTTTTGGTGGGTGGTGGTGCTGGGGATTGAACCCAGAGCCTTGTGCATGCAAGGCAAGAGAGCTACCACTGAGCCACACCCCCAGCCCCTAAAAAATTTATTTATTTTTTTGTTTATTTTGTGGTCCTGGTATTAAACCCAGGGCCTTTGCCCTGAGCTACATTCCCAGCGCACACACCCACAATCTTGTGCTGTTTTGTTTTTGTTTTTGTTTTGGCAATGTGTTCTTTACTGTAAAACTTTTTTTTTTTTTTTTTTTTTCTTTTTGAGACAGGGTCCTGCTATGCAGTTCAGGCTGGCCTTGAGCTCACTTTGTAGCCCAGGCTGGTCTCGAACTTGCAACGATCCTCCAGCCTCAGCCTAACATTTTTTTTTAAATTTAAACATTCAAAAAAATTTAAACATTCACCATGTGTTTTCAGTCACACCTCATAAAAGACACTAAAGTGCCAAGTAGGGAAGGCACAGAATTTGGCAAATACACACTTTTTACGCCTGTGTATGCAGTGAGGCAGTTGATTATCAGGGTGCAGAATCAGTCAACTGAGGGCCCAATTCTGATTTTACCACTCTGAGACAGGAAGGCAGAATCTGCTTCCCTAGCAGGTAACCTTGGGTGATCCATTCAACTTTTCTGCACCTCAGCTTTCATATCTATCGAATGGGTGTAACCAGTAAAGTGCACAGTATAACTCACATGCCCACAAATGACACTTCACTCTTTCCCTGTGGGTTGTGTGATCTCCTAAACAATATCCTTGACAGTTGAGCCTGGTGCCATCTGCTGCTATCCTCTGGGCAATGAGGGGATCCATAGGGCTCACAGCCATGGATTGGGGCTCAGGGAGAAGGGTGGCATTAGTGGAAAGCAGTTTATATTCTTTCTGGGGCCTCCTCCCTTCTAGGTCCTTTGTTCTGGGAACTCTGGCCCTCAAGGTTTGGCAAACTTCACATTTTTGTGGGTGACAATGTATATTCAGGGAGAGTCCAAACCCAAGGAGTCATTTTTAGGACTCTAAATGTCTTCTCCAGGGACCAGGGAATCTAATGGTTAGTTAGTTCATTAATCTAATGGGTTCTGAAGCCAGACTACATGAATATGTATTCTGGCTTCCTCAGTACCTATGTGATCTTGGGCCAGTTATAGATCCTCTCTGCACCACAATTCCTCTCCTACAAAGTGCAGATATTACCTACCTTACAATATCGTGATGAGTGTTAGTTATAACAACCATTAACATTTGTGTATTTATTGAGGCTTCCTAAGTACAAAGTGTCTTACACATCCCAGCTAATCCTCACTGACAATGTCTTTGAAAGAGATGCTATAAACATCACTTTCAAGCTGAAGACAGCGGCACACACCTGTAATCTCAGCACTGAGGGAGGCTAAGGCAAGGACAAGTCCTAAGGAGACACTGTCTCAAAATAAAAAATAGAAAGGACTGGAGCTGGGCGTGGTGGCACACACCTGTCATCCCAGCACTCTCAAGGCTAAGGCAAAAGGATTGTTGCGAGTTTAAGACCAGCCTGGGCTACAAAGTGAGCTCAAGGCCAGGCTGAACTGCATGGTGAGACCTGGTCTCAAAAAGATCAAGAAAAAAAAAAAAAAAAAGAACTGGGGTTGTAGCTCAGTGGTACAACTCCTCTGGGTTTGATTCCCCAGTACCACAAAAACAACAACAACAACAAAAACAAACCCTCATTCAGATGAGGAATGCATAGAGAGATTAGGTAATGTAAGGTCATTCAGCTGGTAGGTGAAGGAGCCCAGACTTGAACCTAGCATCATCAGCAGAACCCACATGTGACACCCTTCTTTGTCTGTTTAAGGCAGTACAAAGTGAGAGTGCTAGGTAACACCACCCATGGCGCACGCTATTTCCTTTCATTCCTTCCCCTCCAATGTCTTGGGCTCCAAGCAGGAGACCCGGCTGAGGCCTTCTTTCTACAGTGACCAACTCAACTCTGCCAGCCCCTAGGCCAGTGACAGGCCCCCAGCTCTCCCCATACCAGCTAGAGACAGCTATGTGGTCACTGCTCATCTATGTCTCAGCCAGCTGCCAACTCCTTAACTAATTCCAATGGGCGACAAAACTAGCAGCCATTTAGTGAATGCTTACTATTCACTGGCAGATGTATCCTACACCCTCCCAACAACTCTGAGAGGCAGATACTCTTTCCTATTATACAGATAAGGCAACCAAGGCCTGCCTTGCTGGTGACCTGCCCAGGGCCATCAAACCAGTACAGAGTGTCGAGTCAGGATTTGAACCCACGACTGTCTGGGACCGAAGCCTGGGTGTGTAGTACTGAGCTTATTTAAGGCTGAGGGTGAGGCATGGGTACGGCCCTTCTCCAAGGAGCAGTGCGTGCTGCAGGTGTTGCAAGGTTGGAGGCGGGTATTTGTCTACACCTAGGCAAATCACACCATGCAAGACGGTGCCTCCCCAAGTATATCCTGACTAGCCAGGTGAAGGGAGGCTGGGAGGAGCGAGGACCCACACTGGGCATCAGATGCAGTGGAGTGAAAAGGTCTTAGGCTTCAGAGTCAGACCTGCCTGAGTGGGGACCCTGATTCTGTAAGGGACCCCGGCCAAGCTCTCTGCATGTCTGAGCCTCAGTTTCATTACCACGTTGTTGGTGCAGATGGTGAGTGGGTCTGTCATCCCGGCCCCATCGTTAACAGCACCGCCCTGTGAAGCTGTGTATTTCTCCTGGCCTCTGCCAAAGAGCCCCTAGGTCAAGTCTTCACTCCACTGCTCTGCAACCTTGTTCTTCTCAAGGTCACCAGTGACCTCCACGTTGCTTAATTCAGTTTTCTCTTTTTTTCTTCCCTCCCCTCCCCTCCCTCCTTCTCCTGACCCTTCTCTTCCCTTCCTTTCCTTTTTTCCTTCTTTCCAGTACTGGGGATTGAACTCTGGGCCTTTACACTGAGCTACATCCCCTACCCCAGCCTTTTTAGGGTTTTTTTTTTTTTTTTAGGTTAAGAGTGGGAAAGGTTTACTAAGAGAGATAGGGTGCACTCAAGAGGGGGCACTCCAGTGCTCAAAGGAATGAGGCACACACAGTTGGGAGTTTCAGAATAGGAATAGCTCCTAAGAGACTGGAGGGGTCCCGAGTGGGCTGTCCCCTTTTTAGTTTTTTGAGAAAGGGTCTCACTATATAGTTCAGGCAGGCCTTGAATTCATTGTGTAGTCCAGACTGGTCTCGCCTTGAATTTGTGGTGATCTTCCTGCCTCAGCCTCCTGAATGCTGGGCCTTGTCTGTATAGTTAGAGGCCTGCACAACTATACCATGTTCTCCAGCCCCTTTGTACATTTTTTATTTATTTTTATTTTGTTAGTATGTGCTTGCAGTACACAATGATTACAATCATTGTGGGGAGTGGGTATGTGCATATAACACATCTTAATACTATGTCCTGACTTTTAAATTTTGAGGCAGGGTCTCACCAAGTTACTGAGTTACCCAGCCTGGGCTTGAAGTAGTGATCCTTCTGCCTCAGCCTCTCAGAGTGCTGGGATTACAGGTGTGTTCTACCATACCCAGCACAGGGGCCAGTCTTCTGGTGTCTGACGCAGCTGACCTTTTGGTGCGCCTTGAAATACTTGCCTCACTCCGGTTTGGAGACGATACTCTCGGTTTTCCTTCTGCCTTGCCGGCTGTGACTTGTCCTCTCTGCTGACCCCTCCCTAACTTCCTAATCTCCCAAGATGCACTTCGTGCCTGCCCCCAGGCTCAGCTGAGGAGCTCACCAATTGTCTGTCCCCACGCTCCTCTGGTGATCTCATCCAGACTCAGGCTTTTAAACACTGTCCCTCTGCTGATGACAACCGACTGTTTCTGCAGCCCAGACCTCTCCCTGGAGTACAATTTTGCTCATGCAGCTCCCTTCTTGACACCCCAGATGTCTCACAGATGCCACAAGCTTAAAAGTCCCAAACCAAACCTCCTTCTCCCCCAGTTCAATTTATGGCAGCTCCATTCTTCCAGCTGCTGAGGTCTCTAGAGCCATTTCAGACTTTTCTTACCTTAAGGCCCTCCCCATGTATAATCTCTTGGCAAATCCTTTCAGTTTTATCTTCAAAATATGTCCCAAATCCAACCACTTTGACTGTCTCTACTTCTGTCACCTTCATCCAGTGGCTGCTCTTCCTCATCAGAGACC